CATTGATTGTAATTTTAACAAAAAAGGAATTGAAGGTGGGATGTTTGATTTGATGGGGAAAAAAATTCTTTAGCATGATAATTACATATATCCCAGAGATATATGCAATTCTAAGTTTTCCACCAAAGTTGTAAGGGAAGTTTCTGTAAATTTGTTATAAAACCAACTATTTTTTAAGGAATTGGGTTGTAAGGGAGCTTAATCACTGGATGACTTAGCTGAAGTCAGAATGTTTAGACTAATGTTTGGTCATAAAAGAAAAGGTTAGATAAAAAATGTAGATAATAATCTTTAGAAGGTTTGGTGTTGGGGTACAAATGGTTAAGTAGAACAATGGAGAAGAATAATGATTTGACCTCGTGGAACTTAGACCTGGTTCATAAGATGGATAGAATCAATTAAAAGATGTAGTAATTGGCCAAAGATTATATGAATTGTAGTACGTAACAACTTATCTTTTTTAGATTTTCTCGTGAGAACAGGTTTTATGATCAAATGGAGAATACAGGAAAAAATTCAAGTATACAACCCCTTAAAAAGTCTCAGTCGGGTTTACTGTAGAATAAGAGCATGACCTGCCAATGACATTTTTCTTATTTTGTTAGTTTGTTACTTGCGATTAATGCAAATAAATGTCGACACAGTATACCATCTTCAGTGAAATGTTTATGGACTTGCCCTCGGAAATGATTGAGCAAGTTGAATTAAATTAACGAAATTAATCTACTTCTGAGATTTAATTTTACTAACTCTATACCAAATGATTGAGAAAGTCAAAAAAGAAAACTGTATTCTATTTGAAATTCAATTTTACTAATTTTGAGTTATATTTATCATTTTATCCCTTTTTGCCTTCTCAAATAGGTTTTCAAGAGGTTTTAATTATTGGGAAAAAGTGTCAAGACACAAAAAGCAGTAAATTAGCTGGTATTACCCATCATGGTTTGAGGAAATTGATAATGGATAAATTGCTTTTAGCTTCCAGAGTTCGAGCAGATGCTTGGTCCCTTTTGTATCCTTCATTACCAGAGACGCTGCAGACTCTATAAATGGTGGATACAATCTGGTTTTTGTTTCTTTTTCTTCTGAATTTCCCACATTATTTTCTGAGTTTTCATTCACCTGCCCTTACTTATTGACTATCCATTTTTTAACAGGAAATTGAAAATTGGTTTCTACCATTAACAGTTAATCTTTACCAAAGAATACAATACTGAATCCTGGAAGAATAAGAGACAGATGGTTGTGGACTGAAAAATTGGACATCTCAACAATTTCATCAAGTGAAGGTCCCAAGTCAAATTACTTCATTTGCATTTCTCTGACTAATTACAATCTCCATGTGGTTCCTTTACTTAGTAACATAAGAACGATGATATGACAAAACTTATATTTTCCTGCATTGTAGATCCATTATGTTGGTGATGCTGTGGGGAGACCAAATGATCAGTGATGCCAATATAAAATTTGCAGAGGCAGATTTCAAAAATCTGTTTTAAGGCATTATTTTTATTTGTCATATATTCTTTCAATTTTTATCGTTCTATTTGGTAAGATGGCTTCCCTTTCATTATTCTATCAAGGCTATAATACAAAATGCTCCATCTTAGCTATTACATTGATTTGGCCTATAAAAGCTAGATAGTGATTAACACAAGTTATTGGAGTACAATCAATTTTTTTCTTTCATAGAGTGTTTTAGAAATTAAGGTTATATTCGATTGGATGGAATGACTATTCCTTATTTAATATGTAAAAACAAGGCAAAATAAAAAAGGGGTATTTCGGAGTCTAGAAAATAAGAATAAGATTGGATATTTTCTTTTAAATTAATGAATGAGATAAGAATTATTCAAACTTGTGGAGAAAGTAGAAATGACTATTCGTATCACATTCCAAAATCTAAAAAGGAAAATGAGCAACATTTCCCACCTAATTACTATTTGACCAACAAATAGTAATTCCATCGAATCAAACAAACATAGCCTAAAGTTCCTTTGGCACCCATTGATTGAAATTGTACCATGTTTTAATGTAGACGTCATTGATAGTTACCAAAGACTCTAATGGGGGGTTAGGATTGATCTATGCTGAACTGTAGGTAGATAGCTTAATTAATGTGGTTAGGATTAGTCTACATTGAAGTGTTGCTGAAGGAAAGATGCTGCCTCGATCCTTATTTAGTTCTTGGGCATAGAGAACTGCATGTGTTAAACAATACAAAGTTGTACAGATAGCAAATTGAATCTAATTACCAAAGTAATCATATCTAACATAGAATTCGTTAAATGATTATTTTAGTGATGTGAAAAGTGATTCAAATAGTTGAATATGATCCGGATTTGATTTGTTGTTATGTCACATCCTACTTTAGCAGTACATCATGCAAAAAATTTACTAAATTCTAATTACTACTTCTATCCGGGTATCTATTTTCTTTCACTGACATAACTTTCCTGTGGTTGCTGCCTTGCAGGCGGGAGGATTGAAATTTTATGTCCCCGAAGAGTATTTCAGTGCGCAGAGTTGTTACAAGTATGTTCATGACTATCTTTTCTTAGACAATGCTTTTTATCATTCTCCTATATTTTTTTTTCTTGGACAATTAAGGAAATTGTTAATTTGTCCCAAATTCATGCAATACATGCACTAAAACGTTCTAAAGAAGGAAAAGCAAATCATGGAAAAAGAAACCAAATTGCTATAGTTTTAATGCCACATGTCATTGTAGTCATTGTAAAGCTTAAAACATGATGTATTGTAATATAATTAGTTTTTTTTCATTCAGAAATTTACCTATAATATTGTATGTATTCATTTATTTAATGTCATGTTATGTGATGGAAGCACGTTGACCTAGTGTAAGGGCTAGGATTAGGCATGAGCCCTAACTTAGGTTGGAAAATTTTTAAGAAAGGGCCCAATTGCTTAGGCCTTACTTCTTCTTTTTTTTTTTTTTTTTTTGGGTTTTTTGGTTTAACAATCAAGATGTCGTTGGGTCAATTTGCACACACAGCAAGACTAATCCCTCTTGGTCAACTCAAAGGTAGGACATCCATGTTGGGATCATGGAATTTATGAAGAATTATTTTTTCATTGGCCGTCCTAAGAATCGAACTTTGGTCAATAAGGTGGAAAGCAAACCTCATTGTCAACTAACCCACAACTCCTCGGGTTCTAGGCCCTACCTTATAGTTGGAAGAAATTGAAAGAAAATAAAATATTTATGATTTTAAGAAACCAAAATAAAACAATCACTAGAAGAAATATAAAATGTAAAGTAGGAAGAAAATTAGAAAAATATATAGGCATCCCATGCCTTGAATAATTGATAGGAAAATTATTCATATATCTCGTGGTTCAACACACCTTTAGTTATTTGTTTGATTTAATCATTAAAATATAATATAAATATAATTGATTTCAATTAGTTTCTCCATGATATTTGTATGGTTGCATTTTTAAATTTGTCTACTTTTAATTTTAAATTAAAAAATAATAATTTTTTATTATTGTGTTGTATAATATCTTGAATTAAAGGGTGTATCAATTAGTGTTTTGATTGAAATTGAAGAGAAGAATAGATTCAAATACCTTAAGAACACTATAGGAAAATTTATCTCTTTGCAACAAACCAATGCAAATGCTTTGGTTCTTAGTTTCTCAACTAACTCTTTTTAAAAATGTTAAAATTTCATTCTATATCCTCTCAATTGGATTCCTAAAACTGAGTCCTACCCAATACAAATTTCTCAATATTACCCCATAATTTATTAATTCAATACACCATCTAATTAGACCCTCACAAAGTTTGTAAAAGAAAATCTACACAAATCCTTCTAATTCATGGTAAGAGAGAAGGGTTAAAAGAGGATTGAGAGTATGTGTTTACACCATAAATTGCATTTTTTAAGTGATGTCATGTGTCAATGGATAAGATGAGATCAAATCTACTGAAGGGATGCATATTTGTAAAGTTGGTGGGGAGGATAAAAATTATTTGATTTGTTGCAGTTTGAATTTAAAAGAAACAACAATCCCTAGAATTTAGGAGGAAGTTATTATCCATGATCTGAACAACCAGCAAGTGAAGCGGGGAAGCAATTCTCAGGACACATATAAATAGAAGCTTTCTGATTTCTTCAAAAGACACGGCCAACCTTACACAGAAACTCATCAATTTTTCAATTCTTTTGTTTCGTAGTGATTGCTCATCTTAGCTTTCATATTTCAGTCTTAGCATAGATCTCAGTAGATTTAAGTTGTTTTCAACAGTCAAGTACCCAAATTAGTTTGTATAATTGCTTCTTTGATTTCCTTTCATGCAATAAACATCAAGTTTATTTTAATTCACATCTCATTTAGTTTATTTTGGATTTATTAACTTAAATTTACAGTAGTGGTAAAGTCCTTGAGATTGTCCTAGATTAGCAACCCATTCTGCAAGAAGGCATTCCTCCCTTTTGTAAATTGTCTAAAAGGCACAAAACTCAATCTTAAACTAACGTTCTTCCAACCATCTCGATGGAGGTCGACTGCATGGAAGGAGAGGGTTGTTGGGAGAATCCTTTTTCTTGCTTTTTAGAAAAGTGGCATGCTTGTATCCAGATTCTGCACGTGCAAAGCTAATTAAGGATTTTTGAGGAAACAATCCTTTTGTGGCACGCCTGGTGGGACATCACTGTATCTCATTCACAATTTCTAGATTCATTTTTTTTTTTACATCCAAAAAGAGGTGTTGTTATGCCTCCACAAGCTAAACATGCAAATGACAACCCATTTCACTTTGAGCGTGAAAATGATCCCATTACTTTTCTCCCAATGTAACCTTTGGCAAAACAGTCCTATGGGAATCCAATATTCAAGGAGAAAGAAGCAGATCGTGGGGGTGACTTTGCTAAATCAAGTAATGTAATTAGAGATATGACTGAACGTCTGGAGTTAGCATGTGGAAAGCAGACCTAGGTTATACAGAAACTCGTCAAGAGTCAAGTTGAATTTTTCAGACATCAGGAAGAAGCAATAAGACAATATATGGTTGAACTGAGATGGGTTTTTGAGAAAGGCATTAAAGCAAAGAGAGAAACTTGGGATGAAAGTCGCAAAACATTGCAAGCTATTTCAAATCAAGTGGTTGAACAAGTGCATCAACCTAGATCAGAAGTACCATTGCCGGCCCAGACAGTAGATCCTCACAGGCAGATCCAGAATCCACCTGCTCTAGCACTCAGGTGGCAAGTTAATCTGCTACAACCACCTTCACAAAATCAATCGGCAGTTGGTGGGCCAATGCAGCCAGAACCAGTAGAGATTGCACCACGTGTGGCAGATTTAGGAAATCAACAACAACTGTAAGAAAAGATCGACAGAGGGATTTTGCGATTTTCAGAAAAGGCTAAGGAAACAATGGGAATTGATGCAGACCCATTCCCTGACTTGTCCATCGAAGTGAACGTGGCAGAACTTTGAAGCCTTATCAAGGATAGAAATTGGTCATACTCCAAGCGTAGACTTACAATTGATGACTTGAGATGGGTCATTAAGGAAGTCAAAACTTGCAAAGATCAGGTTAGATCAGATCCTCCACGAAGAAGAAGGCACGGAGGGCATGATCTGAAGCAATGGAAAACTGGTCAAAGTCAGAAGTTTGGCTATGAAGGATGTTTCAGAATGGTGAAACCACCGCTCAGATCTCCTGGCTAGAAATGGGAGAGAGTAAGTCATCCAAAGTTCCCTAAGGCTCAGAATCCAAGAACTATGAGGCAGCGCTTACAATGCAGGAGAGCAAAAGAGAGGTGCCAGCAGCAGATGGAGAACTCGGAGGGCATGACAGATCTGGCTCAGCTGCTCCCAGTGAGAATGAAATCTTTTTGGATTCTGAAAGTCAAAAATAGGGGATCAAGTCAAACGTCACTAGAAGATGAAAAACAACCTAGAAGTCCAACTTCTCCTCAAGTTCTGACTGTGGAGACAAAAAAAGAAACTGGCTTGAAAGCAACGTTTAAGGTGGCAGAAGAAATGGAGAATTTAGCTAAGCAGGAAACCATCCAATTTGGTGAGTTTTCTGTGAATTTGTCTTGTTTGGTGCTTACCCTTCCTCTAGTCTTCCAAGCCAAAGAAGAACCAGAATTTGCAGATTATTAACAGATAGATCAGATTGAGGAAGGAATTATTGAGATCCCTACAAAAGAGGATAAAAATGAAATTTCAACTGACAAAATTATTTTTGAGAAGCCAAAAGAGAGGATGACCAAACATATAAGGCCATTATACATTCATGCTCACATGGATAGGATGCCAATTAATCGAGTTCAGGTGGATAATGGTGTTATTGTTAATGTGTTGCCAACTTGTATGTTACACAAAATTGGCAAATCTTTGAAAGATCTGATGGAGACAGAAGTGACGATCAGTGACTTCATTAGAGGAGTAAATTGTTCAAGGGGAATTTCGTCAGTGGAGCTCACTGTGAGAAATAGAACTTTCATGTATGCATTCTTTGTGGTTGACATTGTAGCCACATATAATGCATTACTTGGGAAAGACTAGATCCATTCTAGCTGGTGTGTTCCTTCAACTATGCATCAGAAACTGATATTCTGGAATGGTGGCAGAACTGAAGTTGTGAAAGCTAATGACAAACCTTTTGTGGCTAACACCAATTCGGTGGAAACTCATTACTATGACGAAGAAATTGGGACCATTCGCTTCTTTGGGATGGACTGTAATGGCAAACCAGCTAGAATTACTGTTAGTACCAGATCAACACTAGATCAGCACTCACTAGTCGCACAGTGAAGAAGGTTTGTGATGAACTCCTTCGGCCTACAGTAATTGTTCCTTTTAAGTCGAGGGAGAAGCCAGAAATTGAAGAAATTTCATGAAGAGACAACAAATCAATCGCCAGAAGAAGAAGGCCGTGGAAGAAATCAAAAGGAAATTAACGACCTATCTTACAAAAAACGGATCAATGTAAACAAATCTGAGGTCGTCCACGAAGGTGAAGAGGAAAATTTGACAGATGCGGTTACTCTGGAGGAGTTAGATCTAGCTTTAACCAAACTTGACGATTTGAAAACAAAAGTATGAGATCTATTGAAGAAGGTAAATCTGGATATTTCAAATTCTAGTTGAGTCAGATTTGTGTGAAATTGCATAGTATTTTCTTTTTCCAATTTAGCATTTTTTATGTTTCAATAAAAGTGCTTATCTGAATTTGTAAGCTGGCTAGATTTGGCTACGAGCAATCATAGCGACTAAATTATGGCTGTGTCAGATTTAAACCTGCTTTAGATTAAGTATGCAACAAAGGCTATGAGAGAGGAAAACTGATCTTTGATTTTGGAAGCTACATTCAAGTTTGCCTCTATATCTGCAAGAAATTTGCTACATTGTTCTACCAAACTCTTTTCTCTCTTCTTCAAGGAGAATCTATTCATTTAGTTCTACAAGCTTGAGGTTTGAAATCTCTTCTTTCAGACCTTAGAGTTGTTTAACATGTGGCATTGGTGGCTGGAGTTTACTTGCAATTTATTTAATTATAAACACTTGAATTTATTTTTATAAAATCAAGTGTTGGGGGGGGGGGTATTGTTTACACCATAAATTGCATTTTTTAAGTGATGCCATGTGTCAATGGATAAGAGGAGATCAAATCTACTGAAGGGATGCATATCTGTAAAGTTGGTGGGGAGGATAAAAATTATCTGGTTTGTTGTAGCTTGAATTTAAAAGAAACAACACTCCCTAGAATTTAGAAGGAAGTTATTATCCATGATCTGAACAACCAGCAAGTGAAGTGGGGAAGCAGCTCTCAGGATGCATATAAATAAAAGCTTTCTGATTTCTTCAGAAAACACGGCCAGCTCTACACAGAAACTCATCAATTTTTCAATTCTTTAATTTCGTAGTGATTGCTCACCTTAGCTTTCATATTTCAGTTTTAGCTCAGATCCCAATAGATTGAAGTTGTTTTCATCATTCAAATGCCCAAATTAGTTTGTGTAATTGCTTCTTTGATTTCCTTTTATGCAATAAACATCAAGTTTATTTTAATTCACATCTCATTTAGTTTATTTTGGATCTATTAACTTAAATTCACGGTAGTGGTAAAGTCCTTGAGATTGTCCAAAACAGATTAGCAACCCATTCTGCAGGAAGACATCCCTCCCTCTTGCAAATTGTCTGAAGGACGCAAAACTCAGTCTTAAACCAACATTCTTCCAGCCATCCTGACAGAGGTCGACCGCGTGGGAGGGTCGTTGGGAGAATCTTTTTTCTTGCTTTTCAGAAAAGTAAGTGGCACGCTTACATCCAAATTCCGCACATACAAAACCAATTGAGGATTTTTGAGGAAACAGTATGATTAGATTTGGGTGCCATATGAGAAGAAAGAGAAATTCATATGTTTTAATCTATTGGTCCTGTCCTACCAAGACAAAAAAAATCTATTAGTCCTCTAGGAACATCCTAGTGGTAAAAATTTGAACCTCTACTTTGGGATTTCAAATTCAAATTTTGAAATGAATGAAAAGAGATTTGAAAAGAGAAGGGTTATTCATTGTTATATAACTCATTATTTGATATACTAAAAAAATTTACTAAAATGGAACAATGCACATTAACTCTTCAATTGGATTTGCATTATTTTTTTGGTTGTCCGCCAGCCCTTACTCTTTCATTCGTGCTACAATTTGGTCTTTTGTATTTCAATTTTTTAT